ACCCAGGGCCTCTGCACTGCGGAGCTCCACCCCTATCCTTCTTTCTTGGAGACATTGTCCTGCTAAGTAAGTCATTAAGTTCCACAGACTGCTTGAATTTGTGATCCTCCTGTCTCAGCCTCCCACAGTGGGTGGAAGATAAGCATGTACCACTGTGCGAAATAAGAAGGCATTTACATGAGGAAAGCAAAGGAACTCAATACATTCCTCCTGTATCTTCCACGCTTATGCGTGACAGTGACTTGAGCACTCTTCCCTTACCACTGTCTTCAAAAGAACTGTGCACTGGGGAGACTTGTATATTGTTCACATCTGTCTTCCAAATATATCCAGAACCTGACCACCGCTCACGACCCACTCGTCCTGGTTTACACAATCACCTTCCTTCCTGGACACAGCGGCTGCCCCGAGGGGCTCTTCCTTCTCTGCCATCCACTGTCAGCATGGCAAACGGGGGGGGGGGGGGGGTGTTCTGGTATAGTCAGGTCACTTCATACTGCGGCTTTAAGTGCTGATGGCGCCCCAGCCTGATTACAGTCAAAATTCCAGGGTCCAAAGGATCACAGACCCTCACACTTCTCCCCCAAACCTACCCGGCCCTCTCCCAGGTGTCTCCAGGTAACTGACTCACCTCCTCTCCTAGCCTCTGCTCACACACCGTGACCCTTACCAGTGAGGCTCTGTGACCTCCCCCATCAGGAATCTACTCCAGGGGTAACATCATTCCATTCTTGAGGGTTCTACACCTCAACACATTTCTATCAGCTGCTGAGTTTTTCTTTTTGAGACGTCTTGCTATGTCCGCACCTTTTTTTTTTTTTTTGCGGTACCGGGGATTGAACTTAGGACCACGCGCTTGCCAGGCTGGTGCTTATTCTACCTAGCTATCTCCCTGGCCCCCTCTTTTTTTGAGGCAGGGTTTTCTATGTAGTCCAGGGTGGCCTTTAACTTTCAACAATTCTTATGCCTCAGCCTCCCCAGTGCTGGGATCATAAGGTGCATCATACTCAGCCTAATCAGCTAAATTTCCATTTTCTTGGGCTAGGGAGAGATTTCAGTGGCATAAGTACCTGCTAGGCAAGCGCAAGGTCCTGAGTTTGATCCCAGGTACCACAAATAAATAAATAAATAAATAAAAACTCTGAAAATTTTCCATTTTCTTTTCTTTTTTTCCAGCATTGCAGAGTGAACTCTGGGTCTCATACCTACTAAGCAAGGTGTCTATCACCGAGCTAAACTCCCAGACCCTGAAACTTTCTTTCTAGCACATGGATTAGGGGGCTACATTCAAACTACAGAACTGACAAAGGTTTTCCAATTCCACGGTTTTTGATTTGTTCCTGTGAACAGGTCTGCAACCTTCAACTGAGTTACCCGATTCAAATTTATTCAGTTCTGAAACATGCACTGACCATCAACAAAGTACAGAGTTAAGAAACAAGGCTCGATGAGTCTCAGAAAAGGAGGTTGGCCTATGTGAGTAACAAGTCAAATAGGGCTGTGCTCCACCAAGAGTTGAGATGGTCACACCACTAGTGGTGGTGGCAGGAGAGTGAAATGTGGGAGGCAGCACTGAGCCAGACTGGAGAGCCACCTGGACTGCTATAAACAGCATACTCAAAAGGCCTGTGTTGGAAAGGTCCACATACTATACAGCCCCAGAGGGGTGGGGATTTGCTGTGAGCAGGGGTGGGAATCTAAGATGAAGTCATACCTCAAAGAGCTATAAATTTCAGGCTGAGGACCTGGGGCACCTTAGAGGTTTCCAGCAGCACGATGACCCACTAAGTGTGGGGAGCGGCTGAGCTGGAGATCAGTCATGTGTGGGTCTACAGCAAGGCCAGCCCTGAGAACACAGAGCACCCAAGGTGAGCCAGGTAAACAAGCTGTTAGGCAGATGGGTTTCACCTGAATCAACCTGCAGCGCATATAAATGAATGCACTGCCACTGTAGGGTGGTTCCATTTTTTCCCACCAGGAGAGGAGGCAGCATCTGACCTCACTTTCAGCATTCTGACTCCCGTCCTGCCTCTGGGAATTTCAAGGGCTACACTGGATATGGCGTTCAGGGTATCTTGGGGCCTCTCCTCAGTCCATCCCCACCACTACCTGCCTACCTGCCCTGAGGCTTTGAAAATCCGGGGCCATGCTCCTGCTGATTTAGTGGTGCAGTGAGCGGCAGGCTTTGTTCTGTGTCACATTAAACCCAGAGTGGCTGTCTTGGTGATGGTAGCAGCACTCAAGCAGGCCTGCCCCACCACAAGCCTCCAGTTCTGATCAGTCCTATATACTCTTATTCCAGAGAACTGGTCTCCCACTGTAGGACACAACCTTGTCTTCCTTAAAACATGACTCAAGGTTCCACATAAACACAAGGAGCAGTGAAACGCATGAAGAATGTATCAACCATTCCCAGTCTCCGAAGACAAATCTGTTGGCAGCCTGTGCAGGAGAGTGCCAGGGCATGCTGCTCTTGTGTGGAGCCACATCACCATTTCAAAGGCTGTGCTGCCCTGCACTGTGGCATAAGCCCAAGTGGCGCTGGCATAAATCCCAGCACTCAGGAGGCTGAGGCAGAAGGATCACTGTGAATTCAAGGCCAGCCTGGGCTATGCTGTATCCAATCATGGATACTAACTAAAACTTACCAGTCAAATCTCTTACCAAGGGGTTGTTTGCTTGTTTCTAATATAATCAAACCTGGGCTGGGGAGATGGCTCAGTGGAATAAATGCTTCCCTGGCAAGTGCAAAGGCCTGAGTTAAATGCTCCATTCCACCAAAAAATAAATAAATAAATGTCAAACCTACCTGTGATAAATAGCCTTAAACATCTTTCCCCAAATGGAAACAGTTGATAAATACCATCAAAGCTACTGCCCACAAAATTTCTACATTATATTCCTATCAATAGTACATAAAAATGTCCATTTCTTCACATGTTTGCCAATCTAATGGACAAAAATCACACACACTCTTTGGTGACCAAAGCTGTTGCCATGGTTTTATAGCTGACTACCTGCCATTCCTATGTTGTCTTCTGTGGAGCTCTTTTCACATCTCCTACCAGGTTTCTTGTTGAGGTACATGTTTTCTCATCTGGGATATCAGGATATCAGTACTCTTGTCACATATGCATCAACTATGCCCTCCCACCCCGGACTGAAAGTCTGAATATATATCTGCATTCCATGCTCTTGACCTTGGCCTTTTCTTCCCTAAAGGGGCTGCTAAGGGGCACTGTCTTCTCTGGCCCGAGACCTTTCTGAGGCACAAATCAAAACATCCTTCTTGCCCAAACAGGAGGCCTAACTCTGTGGTGCCCGCCCCACTGTCCTGCAGCCAGGCCACCTGTCTCTGAGGATTCTCAATGCATTCTTTGGATGCTGGGCTGTCTTCCCTCAAGCTTCATACTCCTGTCTCATCCCCTCTTCTGGCTTCCTGTGTCAGCCAGCATGTGTTCCAGCTTTCTGAGCTGTCCTGTAAATACTTTCCCAGACTTTCTGGGGAACAAGACCCATCCCCACCTTGGCTCCATCCTGAAATTTTTTTTTTAATGTAAGGAATTGAACTCAGGATCTTGGGCTTGGCAGGTAGGTGCTTATGCTGCTGAGCTATCTCCACAGCCCCATCTTGAAATTCTTGAGTTGGCTCATGGACTCTGCAAGGAAGGTTAGGGTGAGGGGCTCCAGATTTCAGACAGATGAGTGGCTGGCTCCCTGGGGAGCTTGTCATGGTCTCACACCCTAATTACAGGTTCACGTGTAAGCACTTACAGCTCTCCCAGCATCTGAGGTCCACAGTCCAGTAGTCAACTGATTACTCCTCATCTGCACCTGGTGCTAAACAGCCCCAGCCCAAGTGACCAAAATCTCTGAATTTGCTCCCCAGGCTTCCCTCCATCCAGTTTCTTCTGCCTCTACCTTCTCACCCTCACATCTGATCATGAGCAAACCACTTGCAGCACTATGTACTACTTTGTGGCATTAAATGAATTTTCAGGGCTAGGGAGATACCTTAGCAGCAAAAGCACCTGCCTGACAAGGTCCTGAATTTGAGCTCCAATACAAAAAAAAAAAAAAAAAGACTTTTCACACATGAATAGTGGCCAGTAGGGACCTATTTTGCTAGCCTACAAATATGAGATGTCCCTACAGAACAGTGCTGCCCCATTCTCCCCTGAGCTTTCCAATGATCTACTTGTAAAACTCCAACTCTATTTACAATAAGCATCGTCAGACACAGGCCGAGCAGGCACTCAGCACATCCCCTGCAAAGGTCACATGCTAGGATGGGTGGTGGCCAGACAGTGTGTTACCTGTGTGTGTTCGGAGGTGTTTCTTTAGCTGAGACACATCCATGAATTTGCGATGGCAGTGGTTACATTCCGGTAATGAGTGGCCTTGTCGCAACAATAAAAAAAGTGTCAGTGCATATATGCTCTCCCTGCATTTCTTCAGTGATCTGTGTTAAAGCACTTCCCTGAAAAATAATCACTTTAAATATGGTACTTTAACAACAGCACAATTCTTTTATCAATCTGGTAACAACTGCTATTCCCTAAGGTAGTTCAGCTCACTGCCTCCATGAAAGAGCTGGGACCCTCCTGGCCATCATAGATGGAACCCTTGCCCTGGAGAAAACCCTGGACTGGGGATGGTGTCTCCATCTAGGCACTACTGCCAACTAATTCAAAGCCCTCTTGGACAGGTGGCACTTTTGAAATGTACCGATTCTGGAGGGTTCCTAAGTGTAGCACCAAAACTACGGTACAAATATTTAAGTCTCATGATAGTGCAGAACACGACAACCTCTAACTTACATGGCTTTAAGAATATTTCCCCAAAATATCCATTTATTGTCTAGAATATGAACCTAAGACTTCAGAAACAATTCATATTTGCATTTTTCCCCACCAATCCAAACTTTTTCTCACTTTATGGATATTATACCTGTATGAACTCGGTAATGGCTCTTTAGTTGTCTTTTCTGGCTGAAATATTTTCCACACTGATCACAGGTAAAAGATTTCTGTCCTGGAAAATAAAAAATAGAATACTTAAAACCATGCAAAAATTACAGAGCTCTAGAATGATCACTAAAGTGATAAATAACAGAGTGGGCCCAGATTCCCATTTTCTATAAAGGATACAAGTAAATGTATCCATTTGAAAATCTTTTCGAAAGCAGATACATAAATGTACAAAGGCACATGAGGCAACAGGACTGGAGGGAACCAGGTTGTCTTAGTTACTTTTCTCTCCCTGCTGGGACAAATACCTGACACTCAAGCTTAAGGAAGAAAAGGTTTACTTTACTTAGCTCATAGTTACTGGAGGTTTCAACACACTGGAGGAGAGGCTGAAGCGCTACCATGTTGAGGATGACACTCTCCACCTCTCTCAGAAAGCACAGGCTACCCAGTTTAAAGGCTTGTGCCTCTCTGGCCCCGCCCCTCATGCCCCACCCTGGTCCTCTGGCCCCGCCCCTCAAGCCACTAGCTCCTCCAGCCATGTCTGCCCCATAACTTACATGAGGCTTTGGGGGGACAACTAGACACAAACTGTAACACAGATAGAGCCGGAGAATTCAAGTCTCCCCCAGAGGCACTCAAAACAGCTGCAAACCTGTAGTTAAACAAAGAACCTGTGCACTGACTACCCAAAGGGTAGCTGAAAGCTCAGTGCTGTGTACAACTCTGAAGTAATTTCTGACAGTGGCACAGACCTGTCTTTCAGTGATACCACACAGAAAATGATACTAGACTAAGGAAACACGCCTTAGATGCCAGAAATGTCCACCCTGCAAGTGGGGATCTTGCGACAGGCGGCCCCGTGGTGCAGGCCAGCTACCTGAGTGCAGGCTCATGTGCTCCAGCAGCGAGTGCTTCGTGGTCAGAGCCTTGCTACACACAGTGCAGGTGTATGGCCGCTCGCCCGTGTGCATCCTGGTGTGGACCTGCAGGGAGTGCTTCTGGGCAAAGCCTTTTCCACACTCATTACACTTGAAGGGTCGCTCGCCTAGAAGGAGAGGTCCAGAGGCAGAATATAAGCACAAATGAAAATGACAAGGGGATTTATCTTAAAGAGCCCACAGCCGAAGGTAAGGAATAGGAGAGAATATCAGTAACAAAAATGAGAGACAACACAGATTAATCCAAAGCTAGCAGTGAGGAAAAATGAGATACAACCTAATTTCTAAGCAGCGCCTCCCAAAGGCCCAGGAATTGGCAGCAGGCACAACCTCTGACAATACACAAGAGTTTATTTGAGAGGTAGTGAGACCCCCCAGAATCAGTTCCTTATTCACACAGCTCAGGGCCTGGCCCTTTCCCAACAGATGATAGATTATTCTCTAAAGAGGGTAAAACAAAGGGTCTCTGGATTTGGAGTGGCCAGGCACAGCTAATAGGCCCATTACAGGAGACATGGTCAAAGTCTACATTTGGGACAAGATCTTCTCTTTGGCTCAGACCCTGGCAGCCAGGCCAGTTGCCTCCTGGGAGAAGAGTAGAGGCACATTTCCTGGAAGGTGGTGGACATGTGTACAGCCATAGACCCTCACCTGGGGATCAGTAAGGAACTGGGGTGCAGCCACAACTCCTCCAATAAGTCCACTGTTTTACAGGCTTTCCTTATACTCTCAGAGCTGTCTGTAGCTTTTTAGTAACATACTCATATAGGACCAAGTATGAATTTAAAAAAGTCATCAGACATGGTGGCATACACCTGTAATCCCAGCTAAGGCAGGAAGATCATAGTGAGTTCAAGGCCAGCCTGGACTATACAGTGGGGGTAGGTGGGGAAGAATGTCGCTCAGTGGTACAGTACCTGCCTGGCAGGCACAAGGTCCTAAGTTCGATTCCCAGCACCCCAACACCCCCCCCAAAAATCAAACTATCAGCATTTAACATTCAAGGAAAAATTTTAATAGTAGTATTATACTAAGGGAAATGAATAAAAAGCAATGTGCAGAAAAAAAGAGACTGCCCAGAATGAAGTAACCATTATCATTAACATTCTCATACAAGTCACTACATTATAAAGTAAAAGGGCTGGCCAGTGTTAGGCATAGTGGCACACACCTGTAATCTCAGCACTTGGCAGGCAGAGGCACGAGGATCCTGTGAGTTTGAGGCCAGTCTGGGCTACATAAGCAAGTTCAAGCCTGGCCTGACTACATTTTAGACTGTAGTCTAAAACAAAACAAAAACAAAAACAAAAACAAAGAAAAAGAACTGGGCAGTGGCATATACGTGTAATCCTAGCCCTGGCAGGATTGGGGGAATTGAGCTTGCCTCAAAAAACAAAAAGCAAAACAAAACTAAAAAGGTAAGGCAGAAATCTGCCAGGAAGTAGAACAAACAATAATGGAAAATATGAATGAAATAGAGGTAGAAGAGCCTATAAGTTTCAACACCTGAACAGCAAGAGTTCTAGAAAGGAAGAAGAGAAAAACAGATGGGAATCACCCATGAAATATTTCAAGAAAGAGCAAGGGCCTGAGTTCAATCCCCGGTTCTGAAAAAAAAAAAAAAAATATTTCAAGAAAGTTTTTTTGAACTGATCAACAGGAACTTCCACCTTGTTTGGATCTCTCTGGTATTGGTCAAATGGAAGAAAATAGGCCAAATGACTTGAAATTTTAGCCAGAGCAATTAGGAAAGAGAAGGAAGGAAAGACAGACAGACAGACAAGAAAAGCAAATTACTTGTTTGTAAATAATATGATTTGATACACAGAAAATCCTAAAGACTCTATCAAAAGACTTTAGAACTAATTAACTCAGTAATGTAGTTGGACCCAAAAATCAAAGAATATATTGAAATGAGAAGCATTTCTATACATCAATAATGAACTCCCTGAGAAAACCAGCGAAGTAATTCTATTCACATTAACTGTCCTCCCCCAGGAAACCTAAGGAAGCAAAAGGCTTCCACAGTGTAAGGTATCAAACTCTGGGCTCAGTGGTAGCATGCACAATGCCTGCTTCAACCCCCAGTACCACAAACACCCAAAAACAAAAATGAAGAAAGGAAAAGAAAAAGAAAATTATCGAAAAAAAAAAAATTATCGAAGACTAAAGAAACTGAAGAAGACTCTAGAAGGTAAAATGATCTTCCACATTTATGGACTAAGAGAATACTGGTAAAATGGCCATACTACCCAAAACCATCTATAGAGCCAGTGCAATCCCTACCAAAATATATTTTTCCCAGAACTAGAAAAAAATAATCCTAAGATTCATAGGGAAGCCAAAAAGATCTCCAAATAGCCAAAAAGTCCTAAACTGGAGGCACCACAGAACTGAATTTCAAAACATAGTCACAGTAACAAAAGTGTGATTCTGGCACAAAAGCTGACATGTAGACCAGAGGACCAAGAACTAAGTCCATGCATCTTCTACTGAATCCCTGGCCCTGTCTTTTTAAAGACAAGGTCTCATTCACTATGCAGTTCAGGCTAGCTCTGAACTCACTCTGTGGCCCAGGCTGGCCTTGATCTCAACACTGATCCTCTTCACTCAGCCTCAAGAGTGCTGGGGTTACAAGTCTATGCCACTATGCCAGCTAGCTGATTCTTGAGAGAGTCAAAGCATACAGCTGAAAAAGTTCAGCCTCTTGCAGAGAAGATGCTGGGAAAACTAGATATCCACATTTAAAAGGCTGAAACTAGATTCCTAACTCTCATGCTAAACAACTCAACTCAAAAAGGGTTAAAGACCTTAGGGTAAGACTTTTGAAACCATTACAAGAAAACATATGGGAAATACTTCAAGATACTAGTTCAAGCAAGAATTTCCTGGGTAAAACTCCAGTAGTACAGGAAACAAAATAATTGACAAATGGGATCATATCAAATTGAAAACTTTCTCTATACCAAAACATAAAAAAACCCCATCAGAGTGAAGAATAATACAGAATCAGAAAAAAATCACTTCAAACTATTTACTGCCAGAGGATTAATATCCAGAACATATAAAGAACAGCAAAATAAAATTTAAAAATCAAGATATATCATGTATAGGTACAAATTCCTTATGACAAATGTGATCATTATATATACCTAAAATGTACTTATAATAATCTTTTTTTTTTTTTTTTGGCAGAACTGGGGATTGAAGTCAGGCCCTTGCACTTGCCAGGAAGCATTTATTCTACTGAGCCATCTTCCCGGCCAATTCTTAATTAATTTTAAAAATTTGATGGGGCCAGGGAGACAGTTCAGTGGTCTAAGCGCCTTCCTGGCAAGCACAAGGACCCACGTTCGATCCCCGGTACCACAAACTGTGCCAGCCACTGAAACCAGGCATGGTGGTGCTTGCCTCTAATCCCAGCACGGGGGAGGCTGAAACAAGAGGATCACTATGAATTCAGCCTGCATAGCAAGACCCTATACCAAAAAAAAAAAAAAAAAAAAAAATTGCAAATTACATGAATGGCCATTATCTCAAAAGATACATAAAAAAGTACACAAATGGCTATATGGGGGCCTGCCCCTTAGCTCAGTTCTTTAAGTGGCTGCTTCAACAAAGCAGTCAGGCTCAGGTTGCTGTGGTTTGAGCCCCACAACTCAGGCTGAGCCCCACAACTCAAGCCGAGCCCCACAACTCAAGCCAGCCAAACCTGCCCTGAAGGCATTTGGAGCAAAAAAAAAAAAGATATATATCTGAACAGCACTAGCCATTCAAATAGAAATGCAAATGAAAATGACATCACCTCATCTCAAAATGCCTGTAACTAAAAACATAAATGAATGTTGGGGCAGATACAGAAAAAGGGGAACTCTTGTATACAGTGGGAATGTACAGCTATAATGAAGAAATGGACAGAGGTTTCTCACAAAACTATCTCTTTTGAGAATACTGTACTACATTCAAAGGTAATGCAGCCAGTGTACAAAGACACCTGCATGCCCACATTTATTGCACTGTTACCACAACCACCTGCATGCCTGGTGACAGATGAATGGCTAGACGTTTGGTATACATACACAAAGGGATGCTGTTCAACCATCAAGAATGAAGTCCTGTCATTTGTAGAGAAGTAAATAAAATTGGACAGCATTGTGTTAAGTACAAAAAAAAAAAACAAAAAAAAAACAGACAAAAGACAAGTGTCAGCTGTTTCTTCTTGTATGTAGAATTTAGGGGAAAAAAGATAATCTAGGGCTGGGGAGATGGCTCAGTGGAATAAGCACTTCCCTGGCAAGCGCAAGGGCCTGAGTTCAATCCCCGGTTCCACCAAAAAAAAAAAAAAAAAAAAGACCTCAAAAGATAATCTGAAAGAAGGGGGAAAAGTAGGGTGGGGGAAAGGGACAGGGCTGGGTCGGTGGGCCATAGCAGAGGGCAAAGGGGAGGCAGGGGAGGGCAGAAGAAAAATGGGCAGGATCAATGTGCACTGTATGTACGTGCAGAAGGAATAGCACAGTGAAATCCATTAACTTGTGTAAGTAATGCGTCAATAAGCACAATAATAGACACTACAGTGACTGCAGTATTCCAGAATCTTGGGGGTAAAAGGCAAGATCCCATGTGCTGCTTTTCCCATGACAAGTCTTAAAGAATATGACTCTTCATAAACTATACATATGTGCATCTTTAATGAAAATAACCAAAATATATTCTAGTGCAAAACAGAATTCACTATGAAAATAAAAAAGAACCTATTACAGGTTAAGAAATATTTTTTTCTCCCCTTTTTTTTTTTTTGAGACAGGGTCTCAATATGTAGTTCAGGCTGGTACTAAACTCACTCTGCAGCCCAGGCTGGCCTCAGACTCAAGGCAATCCTCCTCCCTCAGCCTCCTGAGTGCTAAGAATTACAGTGGAATATTTGAGAATCTATTTTATTCCAAGCATCAGAATTCAGTTTTGACCCCATATGTACATTTACTTCCTGCTTTTCAAATAACAAGGTTCCAGGCAAGTAAGTCAGAAGCCTGAGTATGGAGCCAGTCCCAGGAAGTTTTAGTTTTCCAAGTGGTTCTAATATGTAAGTGGAGAACAGCACCAGGCGCAGTGGGTCACATTCACAGCCAGTTACTATGACAGGAGAAAACTTAGGTACAGTGCCAGCTCCCACATAAGCTTATATTCCATTGCGGAATTTGTAAGTGGCAACTACAGCCTGATCTAAAGAGGAATGAGTTTGGGAGGCCTCAAGGGAAGAAGAGATTTCTGTGGAAATCCCCATGGCCTATGCTGCAATATAGTTATATTAGCTATCAATCAGCCAGCCACATGTCTTACTAGAATTTAAATTAACAAAAACAAAATAAAAAATTCAGTTTCTCGGGCTGGGGAGAGAGCTCAGTGAAAAAAGTGCTTGTCTGGCAAGCACAAAGTCCTGAGTTCAATCCTCGATACCACAAAAATAAATAAATAAATAAATAAATAATAAAAAAAAAATCAGTTTCTCAGTCACACAAGCCACAGTTCAAGCACTTGAAATGCGTATGTGGCTAACGGCCACTGGGACAATGGGAAGAGAACACTGCCATGGTCACAAAAGGGTCTACTGGTCAATGCTGGGCCAGGAACCAAAAAAACCAAGAAAAGCACCTGCAGCTAGAGGGTTGAGTTATAAAGCTATCCCCAAGAGCTAGGCAAAAGAATGCTGTGGTTAAGACAAAGAACAGCCAACCATCAGAAAGCAGAGTAAACTGAGCTAAAGTCGGGTAACTGGAGGGCAGGCCAAATAGCTCAGTGCATTTAGGCACCTGGGCCTGCCTGGCTGGCCCTGCCCCCAGGGCACTGAGAGGGCAATTGAGACTGGGCGTGGTACACGCCAGTAATCCCAGCTCTTGGGAGGCTGTAAACAGGCCCATCACTACGAGTCCATCTAGTAGTGAGACCTTGAACACCCTGTAGACCCCTCCCTGAAAAATACACACAAAAAAAGACTGATAACTGGGCAAGGCTAAAGCAAGCGACCAACAACACCCAATCTGGAATGAGGCCAGTTGGGTTCAAATCCCAGCTCTATGGCAGAATGGGTACACCTGGGCAAGTTATTTCAGCTCTCTAGGCCTGGATCTCCTCTTCTGTACAGTAAGGGCACTACCATGTACCCTGTAACACTATCCTAAGAGTTAAATGCAATAATACGTGCAAAGACTACATCCCATAGAAGCCACAGTGATGAAAGCTGTACCACTACCATTCCAAATTCCAAAATGCACTGCAGTAAGTTTTGAAAATGTAATTACCGGTGTGGCTCCTCTGGTGGACTGCTAAAAAGTGACTGTACTTAAAAACTTTGCCACAGTCTTTACAATGGGCCTCGGGCCCACTGGGGCGTTTTCTCTTTCCACACACCCGCTTGGCTGAACCATGGTCTTCATCATCCCCTATAAGTTTGTAATCCTTAAGTTTGACGGACCTCCGGATCTTCCGCTTGCTGTATCGGCTCTGGCCATCCTGCCCGTCCTGGGTCTTGGGATCACAGTTCTCATCTTTTTCAGCTGGCACAGCCTCCACTCCACCTGCCTCACAAGCAGACTCAGAGCCTTCCTTTTCTTTTGCTGGAATCTGTTCAGTCAGTAGCCCATTGTCTCCTTCTTCAACCACAAAGTTTTGTCTATTCTGAACTGAATTGTTCACTCTTAGTTGTATTTCCTCCTCTGCAGCCAGTTCTGATTTTCCTTCTTGCAAACTATTGACTTTTCTTGGTCTTCCCCGTTTCCGCTTTGGAGGGTCATTTTTCTTATTAGAAATGACAACCATAGGAGCACCAGCACTGCTCAGAGTCGTTAGCTTTGGGGAGCTATGATTATTCTGGAAGTCTGTGTAAGCTCTCACCAGGTCATAGACTTTTAAGAATTGAGCAGTAGCCAGAACTTGTTCTGTGCTTTTGTCATTAGCGTGTAGATAACCCGTGTAAATAAATTCTAGCAGGATACCAAAAATGTCTGCAACCATGCCTTCCAGCATATAAATCGACTGTCCGATCTCCCCCTCTTCTGCAAACATCATTGAGAAATACTCACTACTGGCAGCAAGTAAGGCTTTGTGGGCCCGGAAATGCACATTCTCCACGATTAAGGTAATATCACAGAGAAAGCCTTTCTTTCTCTGATCCTCAAAACTGGCTAGGACAGAGTCACTGTGAGTGTCTGAGTGTAAAACAAGCTGCCCTTCGGAAAGCTCTGCTGGTGCTTCTGCCATTTTCTTCACAAGCCAGGAAGGTTCAACTCTGAAATAAGAAAACAATGTTTAAACAGGATTAAGCACTGTTTGACAAGGTTAACCCGGGCCTACATGCACTTGCTGTTTCTTCACATCGCTAACTGAAGTTCACTTTTATTTTATTTTTTGCAGTACCAGGGATCAAACTCAGACCTTGCACTTGCCAGGAAGGAGGTTACACCGCTGAGCTACATATCCCTGGCCCCCTATACTACCATTTTCTACTTAGTGACTCAGCTCTGGGTTCTCGTCCCTGTGGCACATTACAGAGCCAGGCGGATTCCCAATATCCACATAACCTCTCCTCATAATGCTCGTGTTTTCTCCTCTGGAAGGAAAGAATGGGATCAAACCACCTGCAACCTCTTGCACTAACTTTTGGGGCCACAAAATTATCGAGAACAACACTGCCGCCATCTCGAGAACATGTTATTAACTATTTCATCTGTAGCAATAAATATTTTACTTATTTAGAGGCAAACTCTTGCTATGTAGTGCAAGGCTGGCCTTGAACTCGCTATGTAGCCTCGGCTAACCTCGAACTTCTTGCGATCCTCCTGCTTCAGGCTCCCGAGCTGGGATTACAGGCGTGTGCCCCACACCGGACAGGAACAAACACTTAAAAGGCCAAGAAAATGCACAAGTGCAAAACGAAGCTGTAGAGGCATGACACAGCCGCGTAAGGCCTCCCACTGAAGGGCGGTGTAGCGGGGAAGGCAGGCCGGGCACCAGGCTGCGCGCGGAGCCGAGCCCGGGGCGCTCCACTCCCTGGGACTGCAGCGCAGGGAGCCCACCGCGGGAGGCCCCACAGCAGCCCGGGTTCGCAGGCCCCCGGGGGCGGGTACGGCCCCCAGACCCAAGCCCAAGGACGGGGGCGCGCGGAAGACCCACCTCTCGGCGGGACCGGCGGAGTACAGGTAGCGGCGAGCCCACTCGGGCCTCGCGGGCAACCGCACTGCCCTAGCCCCGCCTCTGGGGCTTCGGCGCCGCCGCGGCCGCCAACCCGGAAGCGCGACTGTGCGAACTGCCTGCGCGCAGACGCCAAACCACGTGGCCCGCGGAGGGCCGGGCTCTGGGCGGGCGGGGCTGAGGGGGCGGGCCCGGGGCGTGGTTTGGGTGGGAAGGGGCGGGGCCTCGGTGCCGGTTGCCCAGGAGTCTAGCAGGGTTTTGGGGCAAAATGAAGGTGCGGGGCTGGAATGGCATCGTAACCCGCCCAGGAAGGAATCTTTGTCATATCAGGCCGCTACCTCCTCGTAGGTCTCTTAGTTGTACCTCTCCCTTAGCTGTCTGTTGCTAAGGTCCCAAATGCGTAGTGACGAATGAAATCGCCTCTAGCTTGATCATCCTCATCAAGTGAAGAACTTCAAGGGCTATAAAGGATTATAAAGGAATGATGAACAGGTTTTACTCTAGTGCCGAATATATAGAATTTATTTACTGCAAATACAAGGAGTTCATAAAGAATTAATGAAACATAATTTTGAAAATTACAGTGAAAGGAAATAATTCGCAGAATTAATGATCAACATATAGAATAATGTTCAATCTCACTGTTAATTCATATGAAAGCAAATTGACTTTGCACTCATTAAGGGAGAGGAAACAAAAGCTAAGAAGTTAATACCAAAATTGATGCTCTAAAGCACTCGGGGAAGCAGTACCAATTTCTGCAATGATGTGGAAAGTAGTTTGAGTAATATGAACTGTGAATTCACAACCTTTGACCCTGTATTTTTATTTCCTGGAATTTATATCAGGCCAATAATCACACAAATGGAGGAAAGGTTAATCATGTAATTTTTAAAACTATAGGGCAATAGTCCATTCAGCACTAAGAACAGTCAAATATATCTATTGTAAAGATGTGCGTGTAACCATGTTTAAAAATAAGACAAGGAAGTAATATTCCTAAATATTTTCCCTACTTCTCCACATTCTTTACTGTGGTAATGTTACTTTTCATCTTAAGGATGGTCAAATCAAACTATGTCTCCTATTGACATGGAATTAAATATTCTTTTAGTGGCAGTGAAAAGGACATCCGGGCAAGCTGAGGCACAGGCTGGCTCAAGGACTACTTCACTTCAGCTATTTCCTGTGCATGGAGGTGGGGCAGTAGCTTGGGTGAAAGTGGGCTCTGTAAACTCCCTGAGCCCCAAGGAGCACCCTGGGCTGATGACCCACTCCGATGATTTCATTCCAGGAAAGATGTTAAGGATTCCTAGACACCCAGTCAGAATATTCTTTCATAAGGTTTGGGACAGTAGTTAATGGCATATTCATAATAACATGGAAACAGGAAGGGATTTACAACAAGAGAACTTTAAATGATTTAAATGATACTTGTTCTCCTTTCTTATGGGAGAACTGTCACCCTCCCTTGTTAGTGAAACAAAGCCCTTGCCATTACTTGCTAAAGAAAGTACAAGCATTACAGGTGAATGTAAGTGCCCCTGTGAGGCAGAGTTGAGGGTTGTAGGCTCTAAGGACATTTCCTCAAAGGTCTTCCATAATTTTCTTTGTACTCTAATGTTCACACACATGTGAAGCTCACAAAGCACCCTGGGCAATAGCACACCTTCTCAACACTAGCACTGTTCTGTCAGATTCCAGAATGCACTGGGTGGTAGTAAAAGTAAGAAAATCACTTGGGTCAGCCCAATCAGGGTTTGAATCTGGATTCTACTACTTTGTGCTTGTGGGAAAGCATCTCTTCTGATGTGTATAAATTCAATGTGCAAGAGTAGATAAGATTGTACCTGTCAAGTCAATAATACACTGTCTCTCACATAGCAAACAGTCTGCAAATGGTGACCCTGTCTATATTTATTCTAAGCATGATCCTGTGTGTAACTAACTGAATTTCAATGTGTGTGTGAGGAACTTGCAATTTCTAGAGCTATAAATTACAGTACTTTGGGAAATTCAATTTTTCATACTCCACTCATGGCTCCTACCTTTGGGGATCAGCAGAAGCTAGAGAATGATCACACATGTAGGGCTGGAGCAAGGCCATCCTAGCACAAAGCGTGGCCAAGGTGAGCTGTGTGAACAAACTGCTCCAGTCCAGAGAGTTCCAGGTGCCCAAGGCAATCCAAGCAGTGGGTTGCTAGGCAGGGGGTTGTCACATGACATCAACCGGCTGAATGTAGAAATAAATGTGCTGTGGTAGTTGAGCACCTAATGTCCATGAGAAAATCCAGCCTGATAGATAACCATATCCTCTGGCTATCAGTTATCATGGCTATGGACAGTAAAAAATAAATGCCCACTTGGATTTAAAAAAATAAAAACTCTCAAAAGCTTCAACCTGGATTGGATGACAACCCTTTCATTGGTCTGATGGGGTCAGACTAGGTCGTGTCAGGCTCCCTTCTTCAGCTGGACTATTCAGAGCCCATAGTGCCATCATCAGGGCAGCTAGGACTCCTACTTCTCACCCCATCTGTCAGGCACAAACTTGAAGCCTGGGAGGCTATCTCCTGAGTAAGCCAGTCCCCATGCCACTTCTGGGAAGAGACTTCTCTTCAAGGTAGAGGTGACCCTATCATCTCCTACCATCTCTTCTTCACCAAGCCAGTCAGCCTCCCTCTTGTTTAACTGTGCACTTTCAACTTTGACTATTACTGGAAAGGAAGATGATTAGCCTGAGACAGACAATCACAATTCTGAATGTTATGGTTTGTGTCTGGTTGTCCCCCAAAAGCCTCATGCAGTCATGGGGTGGACTGCAGTCAGGGGGCGGACTTCTATAGTTTGTGATTAACTCATGATCCACTGGGATTATGGGTGTAAGTGCTGCTGGGATTATGAGTGTGAGTATTACACCCAGCCTGGGGTGGATAGCCTGAATGCAACTTAGGGGAGACAGACTCGCTCTCTGTAGCTATTGTTGCTGCTACTTCTCCATTTGCTCTCCACTCTTTGCCACCACCATAAAAGGTTGCTCTCTGCCATGTGCCACTCTGTCTTGGAGCCAGTTGAGTATGGACTGAAACCTCCAATAACTGTGAGCTAAATAAACTTTCTTTCCTTCATTTTGAATGTCAGATATTTGTCCCAGTGGGAGAAGAGTAAGAGAAAACTCTCCTCTCAGAGATATGAACTCTCAAAGGTATGAACTAAGGACTCACCTCTGGGCCTACCTGTCAACCATGCCCCCCACCTCCCGCCTCCATTGTTGTCAGATGTCATGGGAAGCACAAACAGGCAGCCAGCCACGCAACAGCCTAATAGACTGTTGAACATGTTGGACAAGATCGCCATGCTGTCAACAACGCAGTCATCACCTTACATTCTGTGTGTCCCAACCCATGCACCCTTTTTGAACTGTTACTCAGTGCTTCCAGGGTTGTGGAACTCTCCTACTATTTTCAGGGTGGCTCTGCCCACAGATTTGGCCTCTCTGAGACAACCTGTTGCTCTGTCCCTCCGAGCTCCATAAATCTGTCACTGTCCCTGGGGCCCTAAGAATGGGCCACTGACCACCTGCCTCTGGTTGTGAAACTCCATCCTGGAGGAATCTTCCCCTTCATCAAAGCAATTCCATGTCAGGAGAGACTTGGCTAGAAATTCAACCACACATCCAGAGGCTTCAAAACTGCGAAATGTTTGTAGACCATCAAACTGCTAAAGTACACTCTCTTGCCTATAAAGCCAGTTCCAGGTCTCCAAGCTGCCAGTGCCACCATGACTGCTCTCCTATATATTGCATCAATATTCTGTCACCCTGTCTTGCAAGTACACCTGCCCAGACCTAAAGAATGCCTTCTTCTACCTTCAGTTGGCTCCGGTCAGCTAGCCCTCTTCACAAAGACCCTACTTCTGGACTTACAGGTTAACTGACCTGGACTCAAACACTTGTTCCTTCGTTAGAAAACATTTCTGACGAATGATACGTCCAAGCTGCCTGTAGGAAGGTGCAAAAGCTCTGCTCCAATATCTGGCAGAAACTGGTTACAAGAAAGAAACTCCACAAACTTAGTAGAGCTTCTGGCTTCTTTAGAAAGTGGATCCTTGAGCTCACAAAAACAATAAAGCTTATTCAGACTATCAGCCCGTGGCAGCTCCCAGTGGCCTCTAACGGCGGCCTCTCTCCTTAGTCTCTGCACTCTGACAGCCACTGTCCTGATCAAGAAAGCCGACAAGCTCACCTGAGCCTGAGACCTAACTGTCCAGGTGCCACATGTTCTACTGGGAGAACTGTTCTGAAAAGTAAGCCCCCTTGATAGATGCTGGGTGCACCCTGTTTATAGATGGAATAAACAAGCTAGAAGGTGGGGGCCACCTTAGACAAGGCTATTTTTGCCAAAACCCTCCTGTGGGGATGAGCTGCACATCAGACTGCCTCCTGCTACTCTTTGGAAATCTGGCACCAAAGATGGAAATTAATCCAGTGCAAAGGACTAAGCCCCCGTCAGGGAGCCAGTTGATTGCTCCGCAGGCTCCAGCCTCTGCACTGGCCCCTGTACCCTGCAGCCAGCTCAGGCTTCAGTTTCTGTGTCCCTGGTCCTGATCTCACAGTCTCTACCCATACTGAGAAGACAATAAAAGTCTGTGGAGTCCTGCTGTAAAAAAATTGTCCCTAGGGACAGAGATATAACTCAGAGACAGAAGCATCTGCCTTGCAAGTGCAAGGCCCTGAGTTTAATCCCTGGTACCAAAATAAATAAATAAATATTATCTGTAGATATGTCCTGCTCTTGACCACTGGTAGTGATAATGGGCCTGCAATTATAGTAGAGGTAACAACAAAAACAAAAAAAATTAGGTTAAATAAAAGCTATGTACAGCACACACAGCTATGTACCGCAAAGCTGTAGAAATGTTAAAAAATAGCTTGCAACCAATTAAAAGCCATACTTAGTCCCCCTTTTTTTTTGTGTTTTTTGAGGTTGCTTACCACGGTCTGTGCTTCTCTGGCCCTGTGCTAGCTGTGATTTCTGTTAATTGACCTGAATTCTGC